CAAGACATATTACATGCAATATAGACATTTATTTTGAAATATGGAAAGGAAGTGTTTATTAATGGATAGAATTAAGATCAGATAATGGATAGATTAAATTTCCATTTTTTGTATTTTATTATAGTGTTTTTATTTCATTTGGTATATTTTATTTTTATAACAAATGGAAATATATGGTAAATGTAATCACGAGCTTTATTGGCCCAAATTGCTTAGTTGTATTCCTTGTTATTTATTCCTGTGATATGTAAAAACTGAAAAAAAAGAATTAAGAGACGAGAATTAAAAACTGAAGAAAAGAATTAAGAAAACGTTTAGTAAACACAATACATGCCCACACATATACTTATATATTTATTTGATATATATAGGTAACATAAAATTAAAACAGTATACATATATATAATATTTGTGACGTGACGCTTTTGGAGCGCCGTCACAAGGGCGAAAACGCCCGATCGGTAGGCCGCGGAGACCTGGAAGCCCCTCACTTCGGGAGGGGTGCGATCCGTCGTTTTTTTTGAATTTTGTATTGCCGTATTTTGCGAGAATTGCCGTTGCACGCAGCATCGGCCTGTCGATGCGCGTGCGACGCGATTCATAGTAGAGCGACAAGACGGCTCGAGAGAGCGGCCGGAGAAGACATGTAAGCAAGAGAGAGGGGAGGATGCCGGAGTGCCGCAGCAAGAGAGAGAAGGAGGATGCCGGAATACCGCAGCGCGAAAGGAGGGAAGCGAGCATAAGAAGAGAGAGCGCGGGACCTCGCGCAGTTAAGTATCAAATATTCGTATTTAATGTTGAAATATCTCGCGCAGAATCTAGGCGTTGGAATATTATAGATACCGAGAGGACTCCGGGAGCCAAATAAACCACAGGGCCGATCCTGAAAGGGGACTACGGAGGGCCCGGCCAGCCTCCCGTTTGTTCCCGAAGGAGAGAGGCCGCGGGAAGAAACCCGGAGAAAATCCTGTCAACCAGCGATACATTACCGGCGTAAGAATTACCTCAGCTAAAGGGGAAGGCGGGGGGAGACCTTAGGGCCCCCGCCATCGACCCTATCATCGAGGGATGCGCAAAAGATCGGCGCGAAAAGAGGTACCGAGACGCGCGAGCCCGGCTCTCCACTGTTCGGTGTGCCGTAGAATAGAGAGGGTGCCTCCAGGACTCCCCGAGTGCGACTCAAGGACCCGAGATCACCGCCAGAAACTGTAAGCCGCCTCTCGAGTAGTCGTAGTTACGTGTTGGTTGGTACCGTAGAGATTGATAGTATACCGTAAGTACCGTGAGTACCGTACTCTCTCACTCTCTCACTTTTCGTATCGTTTTGTGTGTGAGAGAGCGGTCTCTCTCTTTTCGTTTTTCGGGATATCGTATCGCGGGGCCAGCCGACTTTGCGTTTCGCGAAGAGAGCCCTCTCCGAAAAGTGCCGCCGACAGTCTATCGTCTCGAAATTAATTATCGTAAATTCGGGTTACCGAAATATTCAGAGTCACGTTTGTATTAGCTCGAGTATTAGATTTTCGGGATTTGCGTGTAGCCGTCTCCGCGAGTTTGTTAACTATTTCATTGTTCTCGACTCGGCGGGAGAGTCGTGCGAGAGAATCACGAAATCTCCGGCATCTAGTGGTTACCTTGTTTTTTCATACCGTGCCGTGTCTCGGCATATCGTATTGTGACCTCTGTCTATTCCGCGTGCCCGCGAAAATAAGTTAGACCATCATAATGTTTACCGATTTTGTATTTGTTATTCCGCTTGTATATTATTGTCGCGAAAGTACATAGAATGTTTCACCGTGTATAATTAATACTGATTTTATAAGTCAATTCCGAAAATACCGTTACTCACAGATTTTATTATATTCAAGTTCTGATTCGCTACCGCTAGTTTATATCTTACTGTTTGTTATATAATTTTATTGCCCAATTGTATGTATCCGATGTCAAATTGTAATTCCTAAGTGTCAAATATATATATCTGTCAAACTCTAACACCACGTGTATGTCTCTCGATACCTCTCTCTCAACCATAGACCCATCACTCCTATAGACCCGCGACTCTGTATGACTTTTGGAAAAGTGACGTTAAGTACCGTTCACAGTATTATCGTGGCGCGTTCACACGCGCCTGGCGCCCAACTTTACCGTGAGTTAATGAACGCCCCTAAGAGCGTAGAATTAAGTCTTCTGATACCGATTTTTACCGTTTATTAGTTAAACTTGGAGAATCTTTAAATTGAACGCTCCCTGTCCGAACTTGGCGTTTCGGCACAGGAAAAGACGTTGCAATGGATTACGCGATTCTACTGTCTAACGACAAATTTCATAGGTAGAATATTGTGAAATTGTGAAGGGAATCTTAGTTAACAATTGTTTTCCATTGAATATTGTCAACCGCATTGTAATAAACGCGTCAGTTTTTTAAGACACAATAGGAATAAGAATAAACGCGTTGTCAACAGAAATTTCACTTAAAATCTTATTTTACATTACCTTACATAAACCATCTCAGTGACAATATAAAAAATTCTCTCTCAAAGTTTGATTTAAATGTAGTGTATTCGATCCCGAAAAAATTAAATAGAATTATCAATCACGGTAAAGATAAGATTTTAAATTGAATAGAACTAAAGTGATATACAAAATTGTATGTAAAAATTGTACTTTTTTACATCGGACAAACAAAGACACCTGAAAACCCGCATTAGGGAACAAAAATAATATTAAATTACATAAAAGTAATTACTCTGTAGTGAGAAAACATAGAGTTGAATTTGGACACGATTTTGACTGGGATAATCCGATAATTTTACATCATGAGAAAAATACTAAGAAAGAGAAATAGCTGAGATGTTTTATATGAAAAATGTAATAATACATTAAATTCTTAGATAGACACTGAAAGGAGAATGTCCAAAAACATGACTTGTCAATTGATAATCGATTAAGATAGAAATAAAGAAATGAGAATATTCTAATGTTTTTAATATTCAAAAAATATTTTAAATATTTATTTAATATAAAGAATAATATGTAAAATCATAAAAAAATATATATTTAATATAAGAAAATGTAATATAATATTTATTTAGTATAAAGAAAGGTTTAAGAAAAATAAAAAATATATATAAATATGATGTTTTCTAAATCGGCCAACAGAGTCAAAGCATGAAATATTAATTATTCGCGGGATATATATATATATATATATATATATATATACATACAAATATATATTCACAAATATTTCCGCTTCGCAGCGCGTGGCCTTATATTCTCACTCAGCGGAATTCTAACTGCGAGAAAAGACGCCGCGTAGCGGCAAAGGTACGAACCAGTGCACAACTTTACGGACGGGAAAATTTTCCGCGAGTACTTTCGCGCGCAGTCTTGTCTGGTGGTGTAGCATATGTTACAGGTGTTTTACTGTGGAAATTGTGGCTTAAACACCATAATTATATTTTGTGTATATATTAATTTAAATTTTTCATTTATAAGAGCCGTATTATACACTCTTTTATTTTACAAAACATTGATATGATATTTGTTCGTGCGAGTGTGTTGCCGAGCGTGCGAACCGACATGCACGCGCCATCTCTGAGATCGCGGCGTCGCTCAGAGCATCGATTGATAGCAATCATATTGATTTCCGTTTAGATCGATATCTGATTAGCGCGGTCGTCCCGTCACTTCCGTAGTGACGAGGAAGAAGGAAGCATTCTGGAGTAATCCTTGAGTCAGTGTACACGTGTTCTGTATCGCTCTCAGTAACGTATCAAATAATAAGTCGTTCAAGTCATCGTATTATATCTCGTATATTAATTTTCTGTCTATCGTGACGAATTAGTTGTGTACATTTGTGATTGTGCGGAATAAAAAAGACCATTGACTGTTACGAAGCGCGAGTGATTTATTTCCCCGCCTCGTCTATTGTCGCCGCGTAAAACCACCATCTTTTTCCCGACCACGTGCGCCGGTATTCCCGCGCTCTCTCTCTTTAGTATTTTACTGAGTTCGCGAACATGGTCCTTCGAGCCGGATAGTCCGTGAATCGGTGAATTAAAGTGCATAAACTATCGAGTGCACGAGCGACGAATCGAGTTATCGCCCTTATATGTGCACATTCGTGTCGTAATACGTGATAGACTGCCACGTGGCCCTTCTCTACGTGTCTGTGAAATCGCGAACAGAAGCGATTAATCTCGATTCTAGCGGACAGTGACTTGAACAGTGACATTTAGTGATACGAACGGAGTTATCATTTTACTCCATTTCGTCCGACGGTTCGAATCTATAGTTTATGCGATTCGTTCGTCGTTCTTTTTGACAATTTATCGGAGTGATAATTGACTTCGTTTAGTGCGTTACTCCGAATCTATCGACTATGCGATTTGTTCATCGTTCTTATTGACAATTTATCGGAGTTATAATTTTACTCCATTTCGTGCGCCGATTCGAACCTATAGTTTCGCGATTCGTTCGACGATCTCTTTGACAATTTTTTTCGGAGTGATAATTTCTCCATTTCGTGCGACGATTCGAATCTATAGTTTCGCGATTAGTTCGACGATCTTTTTGACAATTTTTCGGAGTGATAATTTGACTCCATTTCGTGCGACGATTCGAATCTATAGTTTTCGCGATTCGTTCAACGTTCTTTTTGACAATTTTTTCGGAGTGATAATTTGACTCCACTTCGTACGACGATTCGAATCTATAGTTATCGCGATTCGTTCGTCGTTCTTGTTGACAATTTATCGGAGTGATAATTTGACTCAGTTTAGTGCGATATTCCGAATCTATCGCTTTCGGGATTCGTTCGTCGTTCTTGTGATAATTATCGGATTGATAAGTGACTCCAGTCATTACGATTGTTCGAGACTGTTGTTTATTAGATCCGCTAGTCACTCTCTTGTGATAATCTATCACGTTGTAAATAATTATTGAAGAATTAACTTATTCTTTTTTTCTTCGGCCGTGAAGTGATAAACTGTGACGTCATCATGCCTGGAGATACGCTCAAGTTACCGACGGACCAATCGAGAAATCGTACTCGTTCTCAGGGCAGCATTATAGCGTTGCTCGTTGTACAAAGAGAATATTTGCGATCTATTCATCGCACGTGCAATTCGGCTGTGAGGCTCACTGAAACGTCCGCCTCCATTACAGTCTCGACGAAACTCCAAACGTTAACGCAGCTATGGGCCAAATGTCGATGCAATCACGAGGAGTTAACGGCATATTCGATTGATCCGGACGTCAGTGACTATCTCAAAGGTACCGAATTTGGTGACATGGAGGATCGAGTTCTTGATGCGACGGACGCGCTCACCGCCTTGCAGAGCAACATGCCTTCGACATCGTCAATTAGGAGGGACGCTGCCGACGCATCGTCGACTTCGAGGTTCACCAGTCTCGAGCGCATCCCTCTGCCGACCTTCAACGGAGATCAGAAGGACTGGGCCCACTTTCGAGACATGTTTGACTCGATGGTCGTCCGTGAGTCTGGACTGTCTAACGTACAGAAGTTTTATTATCTTAAAAGTTGTTTGACCGGTACGGCATTGTCGTTGATTAAAAATTTACCGATTACCGATGCAAATTTCGAATCGGCTTGGAAATTAATTAATGATCATTATCAAGATATTCAAGTTTTGACTTTTTCTCTTATAGTTCGGTTATTAAAACTTAGGCCCGTAAGCGGCGATAGTCCGGCCGCGTTAGAGACTCTAGTTAATCAAACTCGCGAAATACTTGTCTCTCTCGAAAACTTGAATCAATTATCGTGGGATTCCATATTAGTTGTTATGACGCTTATGCGTCTGGACCCGACGATTCGAAAGAGTTGGGAAGAGAACATCGGTAAAAGAGAAACATTTCCAAATTATGACGAACTTGAGCAATTTCTGAACGGTAAAATACACGCTTTAAATGTTGCGTCGATTAAAAGCGGAGTCACATGCCTGAACGACAATGCCGTAACGAAAAATTCAAAACATAAAAACGGTGTTGACTCTAAGGTCACTTCGCACGTTGCGAACACCAATACTTCTGTTTGTCATTTTGTGCTCCGCGGCTCATAACATATCGAAGTGCGCGAAATTCAAGGTCATGTCTGCGAGCGAACGTTTAGATTCCGCCCGAGCGGCGCATTTATGCTTTAATTGTCTCGCTAAAGGTCATTTTCCGCCGAGCTGTAAAAACAAACCGGGTTGCGATAAGTGTAAGAAGCGGCATCATAAAATGCTTCATCAAGCATTCTCACCGCGTACATCGGATCCCGAGTCAATAAACAGTAACGCGGTTACTTCCGTTTCGAGTAACGATCACGCGAAGTTATCTAATGTAACTTCCTGTCATTCGGGAGTCGCCAAGTCAAAAACGTTAAGGCCGGTGTTAATTGCGACAGCGTGGGTACACGTGCGTACGGCTGAAGGTCGTGAACTGCCATTTCGCGCAGTCATAGATTCTGGCTCCGAGTGCTCGTTAATATCTGAAGCAGCTGCTCAAGCGTTACGCGTGCAAAGAATTGCGTGCTCTGCTTCAATTTCAGGTACTGGCGCCACCGTCTCCGGGGTCGTGAAGCACTCCACCCGCGTTGAGCTACGATCACGAAATAAGTCTCAGCTTGTAGTCGTGATCGAGCCTCTTATTTTATCTCGGCTTTCTAATTATGTTCCGCGACGATTTGTTAAGGCCTCTGAGTGGACCGGCGTCGGACAACTGACATTGGCCGACCCCGACCCCTGCAGTGATAAGCCGATCGACTTAATACTCGGTGCCGATTGTTATGACGAAATAATACTTCAGGATCGGGTGAAGTTTCCCGGAGAGCCGTATGCTATTCATTCGCGATTCGGGTGGGTGCTGCGCGGTCCGGTGGACGACGGTCCTGTCAATGTATCGTCGTCGCATACGACTATTTCGTCATTACACGTGACCCCTAATACTGATTTGACTCGTGCGATCGAGCGCTTTTGGGAGGTTGAGGAGATTCCTTCGCAGACCCAGTTATCCGCTGAGGATCAATATTGCGAGGACCTCTTCGTCGCGACTACTAATCGTGATACGTCAGGAAGGTACAATGTCGCGTTGCCGTTTAAGGGGAATCTTCCAATTGATATTGGGGATTCTCACAAAAATTCGCTCCGTATGTATGCGTCTTTGGAGCGTCGTTTGAAAAAGGATCGACAGTTAGCTGTCGAATATAATGATTTCTTAAATGAATATTTAAGATTAGGACATATGAGTCCGTATACGCCCACGGATGTCGAGGAGCAGCGATGCTTTATACCGCATCATCCGGTATTAAAGCCAAGTAGCACTTCGACGAAGGTAAGGGTTGTATTTAACGCGTCTGCGCGCACTGGCAATGGAAAGTCTCTCAACGACTGCCTCCTTATTGGACCAAAATTGCAGACTGATCTATGTGCCATTTTGTTACGTTGGCGCTGGCACCGGTTTGTGTGTGCCGCCGATATTGCGAAGATGTTTCGGCAAATTCGCGTGCACGATGATCATACGCGTTTTCAATTAATTCTCTGGAGGCAATCGGAGAAAGACGCGGTAATTCCGTATCGGTTACGGACGGTAACTTACGGCACCGCTCCTGCGCCCTTTTTAGCATTGCGCGTCTTGCGGCAGTTAGCAGAGGACGAGAAGCATCGTTTCCCTCTGGCTGCGCATAACGTCATATTCAATTCATATGTTGACGATATATTTTTTGGCGCGTCGGAGATAGAAGAATGTCGCGAGATTCGAGAGCAGATGATAGGACTGACCAACGCGGGCGGGTTTCCTCTACACAAATGGAGTTCCAATTGTCCGGATTTAATCTCCGATTTATCCGAAACGATTCGCGATCCTGCACAAAACGTAGATTTTAAAGAGGATGATCAATTAAAAATCCTTGGCATATATTGGGCACCATTGGAGGATGCTTTTAGTTTTCGTATTTGTGCAGAAGTTCCGTCGCATATAACAAAACGCACCTTTCTCTCGTATATATCGAGAATCTACGATCCATTAGGTTGGTTGTCGCCTGTCATTATTATCGGTAAGATCCTTATTCAACAATTGTGGCTGTCTAGGATCGACTGGGACACGACACTACCGTCGGACCTGAATGAAAGGTGCATCTCTTTTTGCCACGGACTCATCTCGCTTGCTACTGTTTGTATCCCGCGCTGGGTGCACTCCCGCGAGGACTCAAGTATCGAGATCCATGGGTTCGCGGATGCGTCCCAGGCCGCTTACGCAGCCGTGATCTACCTTCGAGTGATCCATAAATTCGAGCCACAAGTTTTCTTGCTAACAAGTAAGAGCAAGGTTGCTCCGTTGAAAACGGTCTCGGTTCCTCGTTTGGAGCTCTGTGCGGCCGAACTCTTATCACGGCTCCTTGCTTGGACCATTTCTGCGTTGAATCTTGAGCAGGTCCCCATTTACGCTTGGACGGATTCCACCGTCGCATTGGCCTGGCTTAGCAAGTCTCCGGCCACATGGAAAGTATTCGTGGCGAATCGGGTGTCTCTCATCCAAACGCAATGTCCTCAGGCAAGTTGGCGTCATGTTCCTACGCAGGACAACCCTGCGGACTTAGCTTCTCGTGGAGTCTCTCCGACTCAATTGATCAAAAATCCACTATGGTGGTACGGGCCCTCGTGGCTCTCCTGTGAGCCCCAAGAGTGGCCCTCTGTCGACTCTTCTGATAGTCTGCCGACTTCTGACCTTGAGGCACGGTCAGTCGTCACTCACGTCACCAATGTCTCCGAGTGGGATCTGTCCACTCGCTATTCTGATTGGAGCAAACTGCTCAAGATAACTGCGTTAATTTTACGCTTCGTGAAACTGACACGACGACAGCTTCCATGTACGGAACTTTTATACACTACGCGGTTGATGACGGAAGCCAAAACCTTTTGGATCAAGGTCATACAGTCGTCGTTATATGCGACCGAACTTCATTTATTGCGAGCCGAGCAAAGATTGCCACGTTCGAGTTCGCTACTTTCTTTGGATCCGTTCATTGATGATGACGGAATTATTCGTATGGGAGGCAGATTGATGCACGCTCCATTGACATTCGCTCAGAAGCATCCAGTAATCCTGAGCCAAACTCCTCTGACGCGTATAATAGTGCGTGATGCACATTTACGCACTCTCCATGGGGGAACGTCGTTAACATTACGTCTACTCCGAGAGGAGTACTGGATACTCCGAGCAAAAATAATTGTACGATCGGTTATTGGTCAGTGTGTCATCTGCTCTCGACATCGTGCAAATTTGAGCAGTCAGAAAATGGCTCATTTGCCCGAGATACGAACTAATGTGGCGCGTCCGTTTTTGAAAGTCGGGGTAGATTATGCCGGACCCTTGCCAGTGCGCGCCTTCGCCGGACGTGGTCATCAATCCCGTAAGGCCTATATAGCCCTTTTCGTGTGCTTGATAACCCGTGCCGTGCACATAGAACTCGTTACCGATCTGTCTTCCGCAGCATTCATCGCCGCCTTTCGACGATTTTGTTCACGCCGCGGTATTCCTGCGATTGTATTAAGCGATAACGGAACCAATTTCCGTGGCGCGCAGACGGAATTATACCGTATTTTTCACGCTAGTATGTGCGATGGTGCCGTCGAATCATCTATGGCCTCGTTAGGCATAGAATGGCGCTTTATTCCAGCCTCCGCTCCACACTTTGGCGGGATTTGGGAAGCTGGAGTAAAGTCGGTCAAGCACCACTTAAAGCGTATAGTTGGCGTACATACGCTAACCATTGCCGAATTAGAGACACTGTTGTGTCAAATAGAGGCCTGCCTAAATTCGCGACCGATCGCTGGACTCTCGAATTCCCCAGACGATCTATCGTATTTGACTCCCGGTCACTTCTTGACCGGCGCTCCACTTCTTGCGTTGCCTGATGCTTCGCTACTAGATCGTCCGGAATCGAGATTGACGAGATATCAACTCGTTCAGCGGATGCGAGACCGATTTTGGCAGGTTTGGCGCTTGGATTTTCTTAACTCTCTGCAGAAGCGCAATAAATGGCACAATCAGCGCGCAAATTTAAACGTGGGTGATATTGTCATCATTAAGGATGACAATGCTCCACCCTCTAGATGGGAATTAGGGCGTATAACACAGTGCTTCCCGAGTGAAGATGGGTTGATCCGCGTTTGCGAGGTGAGGACTGCTACCTCTACCTTTCGACGACCGATCCACAAATTGTGTCTCCTTCCGATCGCTGATCGAGACGAAAAGGATCACAATCTGTAGTTCCATTTCTTTTTTTGTGTTTTGTTTTTTTTTTTTTGGGTATCATACCTTACGGCGGGCGGCGCCCAACGCCCGATATTTCGCGTCTGTGATATCTATAGATTAAGTGTAGATTAATTACATTTATGTATAACATTAAAATGTAAATTAGCATTTATCCTAGTCAACTGATGTGACTAATCATTAGTTTATTATAAATTGTTTCTGTCGCTTATTAAATAAGCGAGGCGAGCGGTATGTTCGTGCGAGTGTGTTGCCGAGCGTGCGAACCGACATGCACGCGCCATCTCTGAGATCGCGGCGTCGCTCAGAGCATCGATTGATAGCAATCATATTGATTTCCGTTTAGATCGATATCTGATTAGCGCGGTCGTCCCGTCACTTCCGTAGTGACGAGGAAGAAGGAAGCATTCTGGAGTAATCCTTGAGTCAGTGTACACGTGTTCTGTATCGCTCTCAGTAACGTATCAAATAATAAGTCGTTCAAGTCATCGTATTATATCTCGTATATTAATTTTCTGTCTATCGTGACGAATTAGTTGTGTACATTTGTGATTGTGCGGAATAAAAAAGACCATTGACTGTTACGAAGCGCGAGTGATTTATTTCCCCGCCTCGTCTATTGTCGCCGCGTAAAACCACCATCTTTTTCCCGACCACGTGCGCCGGTATTCCCGCGCTCTCTCTCTTTAGTATTTTACTGAGTTCGCGAACAATATTCAATAAATCAAAAATTAAATATTGAACCAATGAAAACAGTTTCTTTCAAATGATTAAATTGCTCAGATACATATATAGTGCTTGCAAAATATAAAATACACTGACTTCTTTCTTAAGGATTTGAACGGCCAATTTCATATTCATTCGATACATGATATGCCTTTTTATTTTTGTGCTCTCCAATCCTCAAGTTGCTAGAATATATTTTTAATAAATTTTTTTATAACATAACTCTTTTAATCTCACAACGCAATAATCGATTTAACATTTCCACATAAAAATATATTCATGTGTAAATATATGTTTAGAAATATATGTAAATATTACATATATTTAGAAATATATGTATGTATATTTATATTTTTTTATTTGTTATTGCTTTATAATCATTACTATATTTGCAAAATATAATTTATATGTATAAATTTATATTATATATATAAATTATATTATACAAATATGTATTTATATTAAATTTTTTATTTCTTATTATACTTAAGTAATAACTTACTCAATAAAGTAATAACAAATAAAAAATTTATAATTTAATTTTATTATTATTCGACACATTTGGATAAAAAAATAAGAAATTCTAGAACAAAAGAACATTTTACTTACAGACAAGTGACGCAGTTTACTAAACTTATATTTTATTAACGCTCGTATTTTTATTTCTGATAATAATTCTTTCTAATTTGATAATAGATTTGTAATTAAGTACAAATATGTTAGAAGAAATTCTGCTCGAAATTCGTGTGACGATTTTACATAATGAAAGTAATTTTAAAAAAAGAGAAATTGGAGAAATGATTTTTATTAGAAAACACAGGAACTCTATTAATTTGCAACGAGATACGAAAAATATAAATGTAATTTATGACAATATTTTAAACTTAATTTAACAACTTTGACTTTCTTATATGTTTATTTATTTTTGTTCAGTTTGCTTCTTTTTACTTTATCCTTCAATAATGTCTCTTTTCTCGTTATCAAGGCCATTGAAACTAGATGGAGCGACATCGAAAATAATACTAGTTTTAGTTTTGATCAATTTAAATACGCAGTGGAGTTAATTTTAGATTCGACTAGCTTTTCTTTTAATGGGATATTTTATGAACAAACCTTTGGTACACCAATAATTCACCTTTGTCACCCATACTAGCAGATATTGTTAAATGATTTGGAAACAAAATGCCTCGATAAGTTAGATTTTCGTATTTCTTTATATTTTAGATACGTTGACGATATTTTAACAGTGATTCCGAAAGATGAAATTGATGTCATTCTTAAGACATTTAATGAGTATCATGATCGCTTAAAATTCACATATGAAATCGAAACTAATAACAGGATAAATTTTCTAAATACTACAATAATAAGAACACAAGGAAGATTAATTATCAATTGGTACAGAAAACCGACGTTTTCAGGTAGATACATAAATTATTTGTCAAATCATCCAGAGAAATACAAAATTAATACCATTATAAATTTAATGGATTACGCGATTCTACTGTTTAACGACAAATTTCATAGGTAGAATATTGTGAAATTGTGAAGGGAATCTTAGTTAACAATTGTTTTCCATTGAATATTGTCAACCGCATTGTTAATAAACGCGTCAGATTTTTAAGACACAATAGGAATAAGAATAAACCGCGTTGTCAACAGAAATTTCACTTAAAATCTTATTTTACATTACCTTACATAAACCATCTCAATGACAATATAAAAAATTCTCTCTCAAAGTTTGATTTAAATGTAGTGTATTCGATCCCGAAAAAATTAAATAGGATTATCAATCACGGTAAAGATAAGATTTTAAAATTGAATAGAACTGAAGTGATATACAAAATTGTATGTAAAAATTGTACTTTTTTTACATCGGACAAACAAAGACACCTGAAAACCCGCATTAGGGAACAAAAATAATATTAAATTACATAAAAGTAATTACTCTGTAGTGAGAAAACATAGAGTTGAATTTGGACACGATTTTGACTGGGATAATCCGATAATTTTACATCATGAGAAAAATACTAAAAAAAGAGAAATAGCTGAGATGTTTTATATGAAAAAGTGTAATAATACATTAAATTTTTAGATAGACACTGAAAGGAGAATGTTTAAAAAGTGCGATCTTTTGACCTCGAGCGGAAATTAAAATTCGAGTTGTTTTAGGTCTCATATATCTAGTATATTGTAAAAACCATAGTGGTTTTTCCTGGAATTGCAGGGAACATTTGAATATCATCATATGTTTAGAGAAAATCACGTAAATCATTATCTCGCAATAAATCGAGATTGCTTTATGTTTCAGTCGAATATTTTGGTAAATATTTTGGTAACAGCAACTTTCCAATATTACTTAGACCGATTTTAATGTCAGTTAATCATAAATTGAATAATATATATACAGGGTATTCCTAAAGTTTGACTCTTTATCTTAGAAACGACTTAAGATGCGAAAAAAGTTTCAAACAAAAGTTGTAGGATTTTGGGGGGACATAAGATCGTGCCATTGATTTGAGCTTGAATAGTCATTTGAAGGTCACGTGAAAGTTACCTTCAATTTCTTTAATGGGACTACCTATTTTTCATTACATATTCTTATATGTTATTTCAAAAGCTTTACAAAACCCTATACTAAAAAATGTTTTCATAGAGTTCTTGTTGAGTTATAAAGGTTTGAAGTTAACAATTTTTTGACATAAAATGTAAAATATCCTGTAACATATTCAGTTTTTGGTAATCATAGCTTAATATTGTTTTGCATGAAATAATGAGACCAATCAGTTGGTGTAAAAAAACGTAATATTAAATATTTTCCCATTGGTTTTTTTTACTGGCATTTAACTTTCTTATTTAAAAAAAAAACATAATTACTTATTAAAAAAGTATGCAGTTGCATGTTGAATTTTACATTTTTTTAAAACAATTATCTGTTTTCTTTATACCAGTTGATTAGTCTTATTATTCCGTGCAAAAAAAGTATTAAGACATGATTACCAAAAACTGAATATTTTTTAAGATATTTTACATTTCATATCAAAAAAATTATTAACTTCAAACCTTTATAATTCACAAAAACTCTATAAAAACATATGTTAGTATAGGGTTTGTAAAGCTTTTGAAATAACATACAAGAATATGTAAAAAAATCACATGACTATTCAAGGTCAAATCAATGGCACGATCTTATGTTCCCCTCAAAATTCTACAACTTTTGTTTGAAACATTTTTTCGTATCTCAAGTCGTTTCCAAGATAAAGAGCCCAGGTCGGACGTTAGACACCCTGTATATACATATATTATTCAATTTATTATTGACTGACATTAAAATCGGTCTAAATGATCTTGAAAAGTTGGTGTTACCTAAATATTTACCAAAATATTCGACTGAAACATCAAACAATCTCGATTTATTGCGAGATATTGATTTACGTGATTTTCTCTAAACATATGATGACATTGAAATATTCCCTGCATTTCTGCAAGAAATACCACTATGGTTTTGACATTATTCTGGATGTATGAGACCTAAAACAACTCGAATTTTACTTTCCGCTCGATGTCAAAAAATCGCACTTTTTGGACATGTTGTGTCCCTCGGTTCGGGCATAAGGGGTCGCGCCAAATTAGGATGAGGATCCGAGGCGTCAGGGTTTGGATCGGGGTTATTGTATTAATTCATTTCACGTTCTCACTATCAAAGAACTTTTTTTTGAACTAAACACTTGACGTTATCTTTATTTTCACAATATTACACTTTCTAGTTACTTAACTAGTTGAGCGGAAGCGATTACGTATAACTTCGCGAATTGTGCGCGCGACTGCGATAAGATGTTATAGATCGCACGCGGTTAGCGAGGTTACTCTTAATTAACGACTTGAGAGCGACTGCCGGGCGCGCCTCCTGCTCGGTTTTTATAGTATCGCTTTTTGGAAGTTCCTTGATCGGAAGGGGTGCCTGGCAACGGGCCCCCTCGGTCAAGAACCTAGGTGCAAGCGAAATAAATTCAAAATCCTTCTGCTTTGCTTGCACGTTAAGCAATTTCGGTTCCGCGTGTATCTCGCAGCGTATGCGTTTTTACGCGGTCAGTGCCCGTCGTCAAGCGGATGTAATACGAATAGTTATACCTTAATAGTTATATCTTTTAGGGATATAACAGACATTCTCCTTTAAATATTATTTATAATAAGGTCATCAATACAGTTTAAATGTTTACACGACATATATACATACAGTTGTTAGCTAAACGTCTCAGTAGACATACGTG